TTGTCCCTTCTCCCATTCTTTTTAATTTTGTAGGTTTGACATTTTTATTCTTTTACTATCATGGGATTTTGAAAGGTGGTACAGATTAACATAAATGTTCAATTTTTCTACAGAGACTTAAAAAAATCTAAATTTTATATGACATTCTTTCTTGATATAATTTTTAAGTAATCCATCCATAGGTTCTAAGGCATCAGACCATAAAAGTGGGCAGAATGGGAAGATGGATATTGCCAATATTATAAAACAGTGTTGAAAATCAATAGAAAGTTCAGATGCTTCTCTATTTTGATTCCACTAAGGTTTGTGTTTAAACTGTCCTATGGCAGGAAAGCATTTAAGTTAAAACAGTTCACAGAAAAAGGTTTCACCTTTTCATTTTTCCATTGTTTTCATACTGCCTTGCTCAAATGAATTATGCCCACTTGAGACAAAGGTTATACTTTTAGTAAAGTAGACCTGTTAAGAAACTCAGTGCAGTCACAAAACCATCTGGTACATTCCTGAAGGCTATTATTATATTTCACGGGCTTATATTATTTCAAATATTCTAATATTCCCATGTGGGCTTAAAAAAAGGATAACACTTTTTAAAACTCAATTTGTTTGTTTACTTTAGAGCCTCTAGACATATCCCTTATAAGATGAGTGCCTGAGTATAAGCACCTTTTATGTCAATCAATACATATTATGAGTTTTATCAAATGATATAAAACATTCACTTGATTTTTAAATGGACATGTTTCTTTATAAGCTGTTATTTGTTGATAGCTTCCCTGAAAATCAGTACAACGACAATTGGGCTACCCATTTTTTAATTAATAAAATACTAAAACTACAGTATTATATATCAATGTTACAAACACATGCTTTTTATGCAACTCTAAAAAAGTATGTTTTGAAGCTCTGGAAGCTATCTGGCCAATATAGTATAGCCAATATGGAAAAGCAGCGAACCTGGCATTTTTTACTAATTCAACAAGCATTAATTGAGCATCTATACCCCAAGCTGAGACATAGTTGGTTGCTGAGAATGCAACAGAGATATAAACAATGAGATATATGCTATGATAGAGATAATGTTTAAAATGCTATAGCTATCCTGGGGAGGAAATAATTCCAGTTGGCGAAGTAAAAAGAACCCTCATAAAGGACATGATTTTCAACTAGGTTTTGATTGGCAAACTTGTTAAATGAATTGTATGGTAGCTTGTATGCCAAGGCAGAGAGTAATGAAAGGATACAGTATGTTTAATAGTTTAATAGTGAGATTATGTTTAATAGTGAGAAATTTAGTGGCAAGCAGTAAGGTATAAGGGTGACAAAAACAGGTTTTGAGGTTTTAAAAGTAGGTGGGCCCAAGATGCTAAGGCCCATTTAGTAGCTGTGTGATGTTAGACAAGTAATTTCATCTCTCGCAATGATGTATGTAGAAAAGATTTATAAATGACAAAGTAAGATACCAATGTAGTCATGAGTCGCTTAATGATAGGATAC